GTGTGTGTGTTGTGTATATTTTTTGTTGCGGGGGGGGGGGGCCCTAGCCAGGTGCAGGGGGGGAGCTTGGAACTGATCCCTGCCCTCCCCCCTTTTCGCGGCCCAGGGTCAGCCCGAGCTCCCCTTTCGCAGGGGAGGGGGGGGGCTTCCCCCCCGTCCTTTTGTTTGGATTTTGTAGTTGGGGGGTCCCTAGCTAAAGATGGGGGGGCTTGGAGGCTACCCCCCGGGGTAAGCCCGGGCTTCCCTTGACAAAGGTTCGGGGGGGGCTTCTGGAGCTACCTCCCCTTCTCCCTTTCTTCCGTTGGTTTCTCCAGCTGGAGAGCTGGAGGGCCCTGGCTGAAGGGGGGTTCCGAAGGGGAGCCCTGGCTGAAGGGGGCTTTGGGCGCTCCGTTGTTTTGAGGCGTACTTGTGTTTGTCGACGTCTCTTTGGTTTTCGGCGCCTCTTTTGCTTTCGGCGCTCTTTGGACCTTCGGCGCTTCCTTGGATTTCGGCGCTCCTGTGGTTTTCGGCGCTCCTTTGGTTTTCGGCGCGTGGCTTTCGGCACTCCTTTGCTCTTCGACGCCCTTTTTATATTTGTTCTGCTTACTCTTGGGGGTTTTCAGCGCATCGTTGGTTTTCGGCGCCCTTTTGGGTGTCAGCGCCCCTTTGATTTTCGGCGCCCTCTGCGTGTTCGGTTCTCTTTTGGTTTTCGGCGCCTCTTTGGTTGTGGGCGCCTTTCGGCCAACTGCGCGCCTTTCGTTCTTTGTGCCCTTTGGTTTTCGACGCCCTGTTGGTTATCGGCGCGTCTTTGATTTTTCGGCGCCGTTTGGCTTTCGGCGCATCGTTGGTTTTCGGTGCCCCTGTTGTTTTTGGCGCCTCTTTGGTTTTCGGGCCCCCTTTGGTTTGCGGCGTTCCTGCGGTTTTTCGCGCCCCTTTTGTTTTCGGCGCCCTGTTTGTTTCGGTTTTCTGTTTTGTTGTTCGGCGCCTCTTTCGTTTTCAGTGCCTTTTTGCTTATGGTAGGCTCGCGTCGTGTCGACCGGCGGCGACCCCGCCGCCGGCGTTCAAGGTTGAACGCCGCAGGAGACCCGGAATCGGCCAATCGTTGAAATATCCAGCGTTTCGGAAACGGTTGATCGTTCAAGGTTGAACGATCCCCGCGGTGTCAGGGACCAACGGTGTGGTCGACACGACAAGAACCTGCCGTATCGACGCCACTTTGGTTTTTCAGCGCCCTTTCGGTTTTCGGCGCATCGTTGGTTTTCGGCGCCCCTTGTGTTTTCGGTGTTTCTTTTGTTTTTGGGGGCCCCTTGGGTGTTTGGCGCCCGTTTGGTCTTCAGCGCCCTCTTGGTTTTCGGTGCCCCTTTGGTTTTCGGTGTCCTTTTAGTTTTCTGTGTCCTTTTGGTTTCCGGCGCATCTTTGGTTTGCGGCGCATTGTTTTGTGATTGGCGTTTTGTTGGTTGTCTTTTCCTTTTGGTGTTCTGTGCCCCATTTGTTTTCGGCGCTCATTTGGTCGTCGGCGCCCTTTCGATTTTCGGCGCTCCTTGGTTCTCGGCACCCATGTGGTTTTCGGTGTCCCTTTCATGTTTGGCGCTGCTCAGGTTCTTCGGCGCCGTTTTGGTTTTCGGTGCCCTTTTGGTTTTCGGTGTCCTTTTGATTTTCGGCACTGTTTTGGTATTTGGTGATTGTTGGTATTTGGCGACTCTTTTGTTGTCGGCTCCCTATTTGTTTTCGGCGCACCTTTGCTTGTTTGGCGTCCTTTTCAAGTTCGGCGACCCTTTGGTTTTCGGCGCCCTGTCTTTGTTTGGCGCTCTTTGGTTTTCGGCGCCCTTTTGGTGTTCGGCGCTGCTGAGGTTTTCGGCGTCTCTTTGGTTTTCGGCGCCCTGCTGGTTTTCGGAGTTTTTTTTGTGCGTTTGCGGCGCATCTTTAGTATTCGGATTTCGTTGGCTGTTCGGCGCCTGTTGGTTTTCGGTACCCCTCTGCTTTTCGGCGCTCTTTTGGTTTCTGGCGCTCCTTTGGTTTTCGGCTCCCTTTTGCATTTTCGTTGCCCTTTCGGTATTCGGTGGCCCTTTTGTTTTCGGCGCTCTTCTGGTTTTCTGCGCTGTTTTGGTCTTCGGCGCTGTTTCCTTTAGCAAACGCCCCTATAGCCCAAAAGGGGGAGAGGAGGGGGGTCTTCGGCAGGGGGGGGGGTTCAAAGGGGGGTAGCTTCCGAGGGGTGGCAGAAAAAAAGGAGAGGCGGGTTGGGGACTTCCGGCAGGGGAGGTCCAAAGGGGGGGGGGTAGTTTAGCCCCCCCACCCCTTGGGACAGGGAGGGGGGAGGTAGCTTCCGGAGCGCGGAGGGGAGGGGGGCGGTAGCTTCCGAGGGGCGGAGAAGAGGAGGGGGGGGGGCTTCCAGCAGGACAGGTCCAAGGGGGTGGGGTGGTAGCTAAGACCCCCTCCCCGCCCGCAAGCCGTCTCGCTCACTCCCACCCGCCCTCCCAACACATACGTAGCACCCGAGTCTGGCCCGAGGCTCAGCATTTTCAGCAGTCGTCTTTGGATGGGCAGCTACTGGGGGCTAATCCGCCGCCGCCGCCGCCGCCGCCGCCGCCGCCGCCGCCGCCGCCGCCGCCGCCGCCGCCCCCCGCTGCCAAACCGCCGCCGCCGCCGCAGCCGCTGCCGCCACCGCTACCGCCGCCGCCGCCGCCACAGCCGCCGCAGCAGCCGCCGCCGCCGCCGCCGCCGCCGCAGCCGCCGCAGCCGCCGCCACCGCCGTCGCAGCCTCCGCAGCCGCCGCCGCCGCCAAGTGTACTCTGTATTGTTTTTTTGACAGGGAGGGGGGGGGGGGGCGCATCGGGTTGGCTGCGCATGTTCCGAATTTGGAGGCAGAGTGTGTTTTGAATTGTTTTTGTTACAAGGGATGGTGGTGGGGGGGTGGCATGGACCCTGGTTGGCCCCCAGTCGCCTGGGGGAGGGGGTGTTTATTAATAGGGAACAGTGATAAAGGGGACCCCCCCCCCTTTGGGAGCGCGCCACGGGAGCGCTCTCTAGTAGGTTTCTGTGGGACCCTCCGGGGCTCTCCTGGGGCCTCTTGTGGCCTGATGGGGCCATCTTGGCACCACTCCGGTGGTTTCGAGGCCGTTTCGGAATGTCTTGAGGCCGCGGGGGTAAGCTTTGGGCTGGTCTTGGGTCGTCTCGGACCGATGTCGTATGGGGCCATCTGGAGCCATGTTACGACCACTTGGGCGCATGTTGGGCTGCCTGAGGGCTTTTCGGAGGCCTTCCGGATCTCCCTGGAGGCGTCTGGACGCGATGAGCCGGTGTAGCAACAAAATCATGTTGACTCAAAATACCTAGGTGTGTTTTAAGGTTTGTGGTTTGTCTATCCTTGTATTAGGGGTGCTATTTTGCCCTTGGGGTCTCTTAGCTCAAGGCCTCTCGGGTTCTTCTTGACAGCCTTCTAGGACCGTCTTGGGAAGCATCTGAGGCACCGCGGAGGCGCCGGACGGTGGACTTGGATGCTGCGAGAGCCTCGTGGACGTGTTGACGAGTTCTCGGGGGGCCCCCTCGCTCCCCCGCTCCCCATCAGGCGACGACAGATATACACATCCACCTCCTCCTCCTCTTCCTCGTCATTCTCCCCCGCCTCCTCCTCCTCCTCCTCCTCCTCCTCCTCCTCCTCTTCCTCCCCGTCCCCCCCGTCCTCCTCCTCCTCCTCCTCCTCCTCCTCCTCTTCCTCGTCAATATCCCCCTCCTCCTCCTCCTCCTCCTCCTCCTCCTCCTCCTCCTCCTCCCCTCCTCCTCCTCCCCCTCCTCCTCTTCCTCCTCCCCCTCGTCCTCCTCCTCCTCCTCCTCCTCCTCCTCCTTTGCCTCCTCCTCCTCCTCCCCCTACCCCTCCCCCTCCCCCTCTTCGCTCCACTGCTGCAGTGCCGTCCCAGGAGCTGTGCATATCGCCATCCCGACCAGGCCAGGAGGGCGTGGCGTCGGCCACGCGTAGAGGGGGGTGGGGGGAGGGGGGAGGGCTTCTTAGTCTTAGAAGCACTCGGGGGTGGATAGACCTCCTACCCTGACACGTCGATTAAGGAATTGGCCGTTTTCGGTTCGCGGGAGGGCCTCGCGGCCGTCATTTTTGCGGGTCCAGGTCCGTCGGTTTCGGTCCCAGGCCGTTTTCACTAAGGGGAGGTTTATTAAAAGGGAGGTTTGTCCACCGCCGAAGCACCCCTGCTTCTTAGAAGGCGTGGGCCGGGCGAAATGGGGGGGACTGAAAAAGGGGGGGGTACGAAATCTGCTGCATGCAGCTGGTTTCGGCCTCACCGAGGGGCCCATTCCTCGATACATGGCCGCCTCCGGCGCCGGGAGGCGCCGGGAGAGTCAGCTACGTGAGCTGATTCTCACCCCCCCCCTTTGCTATCCCCCCCTTTCGCCCGACCCGAAAGGCGCTGGCCTTGTCTGTAGATGTAATGCTGGCGCCTGCTAAGAAGCAGCATCCTTCCAAGAAGCCCGCCCCCTCCCTCCACCCACTTTGTGCGCGCCGCCAACGGCGTGTGCACCGCTGCTGAGTTCGGGGTGGTCCTGGCCAGGCAGCGGTGGATACGTGCACGCTTTTCATGTCCAAGTATTCGACATGTCTTTGATTTTTTTTTTGGGGGGCAGTATCCTTTCATTTCTGAGTGTTCCATCCTGGGCCTCTTCCTGGCCACCAGGGGGCCAGGAACACATGGAGCACGATCAGAAGTGAGCACGATTAGACATGAACGACGCGTATCGATTTCGCCCCCCGCCCCTTTGGCAGGACTTGCCGGACCCCCAGAGAGGCGGAAACGTGGGAAGAGGACGGTCGGATGATCATGTTCGACGGCATCCTAAGGCACAGAGGCAGACAATGCTTCTCAGCCTCATGACTCTCTCCACGCGAAGCCTTTACGTCAGAGACTGGAGCCGCCAAGAGTCAGCGCTTTGAGTCTGAAGCTCCTCTCGAAAGACACTGCAGACATAGAGGCTGTCACAGCAGAGGGCTGCCGTCTCACCCCGAGTCCCCTCCCAAGGTGCTCTATCGCGAAGAGCTCGAGGCCCTCGGCTTCACGTCTGGCGCCGGCGGCGCGCCGATGATGAAGCCAGCAGGCACGTGGCAGCAGGATCGCCCTCCCCAGCGGCAGTTGTTATCCGAGGGGTAATCGGGGGGATGAGAGTGTACGTCCATGGCTGCGATGGACTTGGTGGTGGGGCCAGGGGTCGCGATCCGCGGCGATCGTGGTGACGATGATGCTGCTGGGTGGTGTTGCTGAGAATGACAGGCGAGCGGCACCGGTGACCGTTGGGGGCATCATCTTAGCTACAGTGCGTGAGCACTTTCGGAGGCATGCTCATCGGTGGCCCAATCCGAAGTCTGACCAAACGATCACCCCGCGGATGAAATAGAGCGTGCCTGCGCAGTGCGTGTGTGTGTGTGTGTGGTCGCACAGTGGCTTGGGCCGCATGCGTGTGCGCGCTGGCCGAAGTGTCGGCCGATCTCCGGAGTGTTTCGGATGCTGGAGCCGGTTGTCTGGGCGGGCGCGCCAATCTCGTGGCGAGTTCCCGATGCAATTACTGTGGACTCTTGGGGCCCTTTGGAATCATTTGGAGGAGTCTCAGGGCCGTCTTGGGTCGGCTTTGGACTGCCTTGGGGTTGTCTTAGGCCGTCCAGTGGCTGACTTGGATGGGGTTCTGGGCAGTTGTGCGGCCTGCTGTCCAGGGCCTATCCGCTGCACTTGGAGGCCCTGGGAGCTCGTCCTGTTGCGTAGATGCCAAGGCTCAGAAGCCAAGGCAGATCGAGGTAGGGTCATGTCGCTGGGCTCGTTCATTGTCACAAGCTGTTCCACTGCGTTCTTCACCGAATGAGGGGTAATCCTCCGTCCAACTTGCGACAAACATCGCGCGCACCTCAAACCAAGCTTTGCGCAGCTCGTCGAGCACACCATGAGGTCAGAAATGTTTGCCCCTGGCGTTGCATCTGGTATCCGTTATCCTGAAACTCAGTTGGCTGCATCAGTTTTCACTCATCGGCCCAGTGGCGCTGTTCAGGTTCTAGCCTCGGAGCTGCTGGCTCTCTCGCAGCCCCTCCGATGATGGCACTGCTGGGGGCAGCATGGGCACATCGGAATCCCAGACACATTCTTTGAGGTTCCGGTAAGCTCGCCGAAGACAAGGAGAAGGATGAGGAGAAGGAGGAGGAGGACCAGAGTTAGCGAAACATTGACCAGCAATGTTGCAACACACCTTCCCGTCCCAAGCCCCCTCCTCGTACGTCCCCACAAATCTTCCTTGGTACTACAAGAAGCGCCCCCCCTTTAAGACCAGCACAGTTGGGCCTGCCATGTTGGCGAGGGTCCCAGTTGGCGAGGAGGAGAAGGAGGAGGAGGAGGAGGAATAGGAGGAGGAGACGGGGGAGGAGAAGGGGGAGGAGGGGGAGGAGCCGCAGGATGGCACCGCAGGAACACCCGGCCGCACCAGTATTCGGTCCAGGCATATCGCGTGATGACAGCCTTGATTTGTTTGCGGTGTCGGTTCGCCGCAGGCCTCCTCAGGAGCGCAAGAGGCGCATCAGTTACCAGCAGCGTCCCATGCAGCGAAACGATGTTCGTCCCACCGCGTGTTGTCGCTACGTTTTACACATGAGGGTGCCTTTATGTGTTTCACGTGGATTGCACTTTCCCGTCCATGCATGGATCGCATGTTCCCAGGATCATGTTCCAGCTTGGGTGTACCTCTGCGTGCTTCACATGAGCAGCCTATTGTGTTTGCCACATGAGAGTGTCTGTTTCTTTCACCCGGGCATGTCGTAGACATCTACATTGCGGAGTTTGGTGGTGTGGTTTCTTCGCTTCCTGCTCCATTGTGTTGAGGACATCGCGCCTTGCCCGGCACTACCAGTTTCGTTTCCCAAGCATCAGGACATGCGATCATGGTCGCTGCATTCGCGGGCGGCGCATGCTTCTCTCGTGACACGTTGGCGCCATAGTCCGCATTGCTTCCCCGCTCCATTGTCTTCCTTTACCTCCCGTCTCGATGTTATCCAGTCGCTTCGGCTTCACGCTCTGATTTCGCCTGTGGCTTGTCTAACAGGACTCGTACTCGATGCGGCGTGGGAGGAGTTCAGCATGGGAAGAGCAGGAGCCTCAGCTTGCTGGCGTGGGGCCACGGGGTCGGACACATGTCAAGCAGGGTGGTTGTGTTCCCTCCGATTGGTGAGGACATGTTTCGGATAGATGTGGTCCGCCCCTCCCAGCTGGCGCCAATGAGATTTGAGAAACACCTGCCATTTCGTTGCAGAGCGGACTTGCCTTGTGGAGCACTTGGAGGCGGTCTTCGTAGTGACACGATTCGCGTCACGAGGCTCCAGCTGCTGGTGCTCCACCCGGGTGGTTTCTAGGCAGGTCGCCACGGGCGGCGGAGTCGGGCCGCTGCCCCCGCCATCACACCATCGACCCACGAGTACATGGCCATTGAACGTGGATCAGGCCGTCTTCCGCGCTACTCAGTGCGTGCTCGTCGTCAGAATCCCATCGGGTTCCATGCACGTGGGGTTCAGCACACGTGAGGTTCCACGGGCACTGTTGCTGCACACATGGGCGTCACGTGCGCGCATGGTGTTCCACGCAGGTGGCGTTCCACCCCTCACGAGGTTCCACGCCACACATGGTGTTCCATGATACACACACAAACACGCCTGGGGCTACACACGGACGCGCACACGGGTACCCGCATATATGATATGTACACATTGGGATTCACACATGGTGTTCCACGGCACATGTAAATCCACATAGTTCATATGAATAGTTTTCCACACATTGAGTGTCACGAGCATGGGCTTCCTTACACCGGGATCCGATCATATTGTCTTCAAGACCTTTGTGTTCTTGTGGTGTTTTGTGTTCAGTGTTTGGCTCCCGTTCGGCAAGGATGGACACCTGCGAGGGCACCCCTGCACTCTTGGGTTTGGTTTGGGGCACCTTAGCCGCCACAGCTGTTGCAAGTTGGACGCCTGTATACTTGCACCCTTATGCTGCAATGTCATGACGTCTCACGACAGTTTGCATGTGACACGTCAACTATCATAACGTGTACACGTTTGTCGGTTGAGGGGTGCGCGGGAATCGCAATCGGAAGGTGCGTGTTCCTCCGCTCGAGTCCGTCCGGGGTCCAGCGCAGTCTTCACCACAAGCAAGTGTCGTTGCTGAGTATCGGCCTAGTAGCTCGAAGCCCCATGTGGGATGCCCGATGCTGCGCGAGTGCCACATCCATCGCGAGCGGAGAGACCCGCCCTGTGCTCCTCAAGTTCTGCCGTCGGCAAACTCCACGAGTTTCGCCGTGTGTTGTGTGCGTGCCTGCGCGGCTTTGTGTTCCATCCGGCTTGCATGTCTCGCTCGCATGATCGTGATACAGCATATGCACTGAACGTGTTGGCCGTGCCCATTACTCTTGCGCCCTGGCGCGCAGACACCGCCGTGCTCCACCTGCTTTCAGGAAGCAGGCAGCTGAACAAGTTGACATAATCTCGCTGATGTTCAAGCCGTTTGCAGGGCTGCGTCATACCACGCAAGTGTTCTTTGCATACTTCACAGGTGATATGTACATAGGTTTGACATGCTGACGCCGCACCCGTCCTTCACTCTTATCCGCAAATGGGGGTGCCATACATACACATATATACACACACATATATATATATATAGATGTATTTGCATATGTATATTATATGTATATGTATATGTATATGTATATGTATATATATATATACATGTATATATATATATATATACATAGCGGTGTATCTCTCTGGCACACTCCCTTTGTACACACAGATATATGTACACACGCATCTATAAATACACACGCTCACTCCTGATCCACAGCGAGCCGCGCACCCCCGGCGCGCTCCCGGCGCGCAGCCTGCCCGCAGCCGCGACCCGCGCAGATGCGCGCGCGCCTCGGGGCGCCGCCGCGCACGCCGAGGCGCTGCGCCGGGCGCCCTTCCCGCCGCCCGTGGCGCCGCGGTTGCTCGGCCGCGCCAGGCGCGGGCGGCCTTTATGGCGCCGCGGAGGCGCCGGGCGGCGCCCTGGGCCGAGGCCTCCGGGAAGAGTCGGCCGCACGAGCGGCCTCGTGGGATCCTCCTCCTCCTCCTCCTCCTCCTCCTCCTCCTCCTCCTCCTGCTGATGTCTAGATTTTCACCCTGCGGAGTGGGCGCAACAAAACAGTTCACCCTCGGCGCCCAGCGCAACGCTACTTCTATCCTCCAACGAACAGAACCTCCTCCTCCTCCTCCTCCTCCTCCTCTTCCTGCCTCCTCCTCCTCCTCCTCCTCCTCCTCGGGACCTCCTCCCCCGCCTCGCCAGCACCGGCGTGCTCGTTTGGATCTTGCCCCGTTTCGGCTCCCTGATGCTGCGTACCCAAGGTCACTGTTGCCTCGGGTAACTCTTGCGCGTTGCAGAGCAATGTTGGGTGACGCCACCACCACCAGGGGGCCGCCTCTAGCGGGGGGATCCACTCCGAGACGGGGGTTTATCCATAAGCGCCATCTTGGGAGTCAATCTTCGGGGATCTCGGCTGGTGGTGGTTCTGGATAACCGCGGGGAGCGACTATCGACCCCCTACCTCCCTTCTGGCGAAACTAGTTCTACCGCTTCTCGCCCTTAGATGTGGCATCCCGCCCCCAGACCCCTCAGTGCGGGATCCCGTCAAGATCCGCACGGTGGTTCAATGGTTTTCGAGCGCAGCCGATGTTTCCGTCGGATGTTATCGTGTTTTTTACATAGATCGTCTCAGGGCGGTCTCAGAGATTTGGGCTGTCGGCGGGGGCCCTTGCCTCCGAAGAGGCCGTCTTGAGGCCTCTGTTGACCACTCTTGCTCGTCTTACTCCTACCGCCCACCGCACCCTCGCGGAATTGGTAGATTCATCAATTGGTCGTCGTGCCAGCGATATCGCTCGGCGGTTCCCCCCCCCCCCCCCCCCTGGGGAATCAGCTGCTTGTTTTTGAGCGCTACGGATAGCGGGGTCGGGGGGTCGATACTCGCTCTCCGCAGTTCGATTCGGGCCCCCTGGGGACAAACATGTACAGATCTAGCGCCACCTGTGGGGTCCCAGGCGTCCCCGCCTCGCACAGCCCATGCTTTGGGCAGGGGGGGTCTCCAGCGAGAGGTGGGAGGCCACGCCACCAGGAGGACCCAACCAAGTCTCCGACGAGATGATTTTTCCGATCTGGGCGTGTTCTTCTTCGATTTCGGCCTTGGGGCCCATCGCCTGGACTGGAACCAGCAAACACATATCCGGGGCGAGAAACTTGCTCCGGAGAAAGGGTCGGGGATTTTGGGCGCGCGAGTTGAAACAATCACTTCGCCGGATGCCTAGGGAGGATGGGCGACACCACCACCACCACCACCACCACCACCACCACCACCACCACCACCACCACCACCACCACCACCGAGGGGGCCACCTCCAGCGAGGGGGTCCCCGTTGCCTCCCCGAGCCGGGGGCAGGGGGTGTGTACCGAGCAGGGGCCCGCCACCAGGAGACCCTTTCGAGCAGGCCCAGGAGCCGGGACAAACCGTCCCAGAGCGCCCCGAAGCGCTCTCTGAGCGTTCCGGATCGCTCTGACAAGCGGCGGCGGCGCCCGCTACATCCTCGAGAATTGCCAGATCTCATAGATGTCCTGGCCCTGGCTTCGTCTTAACTCTCCCTGGCACTTCGCGCTGGTGGCGTTGTTGCTCCTCTTCTCGGCGGCGAGCGGGGGGGGGAAACCAGGAAGAGAAGGCCTTCTCAGAAGGCGGCAGGACTTCTCAGATGCCCTCGCGCATTCGGAGAAGTTTGCTGCGCCTTCGGGAAAGGGGCCTAGACTGTGGAGGACGATCGATGGAGAGGAAGCATGTTGCCATAGAATTTCCAGATGTATAAAACATGTCTAAAGCACGTCTTAAACATGTTTCAATCATGTTTAAGACATGTTTAGGACATGCTCTTACATTTTAAACACATGTGAAATTCAATGAAAGGACTGTTGGGGTGTCCATTGTCGTGGCATCCACAAGCCAAGACAACTGTTGATGAGGCCGGGGGACCTGCGAGCCCTCTGAGCAGGCCGTTCCCTTCTCGCTTCCCCTCCCGGGCCCCTGGGCTCGCCGCCGATCCTCGCGCCCAGGCTGGGCCGGCCAGCCGGGCAACGCGGGGCTGGTGCAGCCGGCGCCGTGGTCGCCGCGCTGCGAGGGTGCCGGCGGGCCGCAGGCTCTCGTCCGAGCCTGCAGCCTCCCTCACTCAAGCAGTGGCGAAGCGTCCTGGCGTGCCGATGGCCCGTGCCGATGGCCCTGCCTCCTCACTCAAGCAGTGTTCTGAGGACCTCTTGTGGTTTCCACGAAATGTTCTCAGAGTTGAGACTGTCTTGTTTTATCGCATCGGGTTTGTGTTCTAAGAGCATTGTTCTTGTTCTTAGAACATTGTTGGGTTCTAAGAACATTTCGTGGCAGGACTATAGGAATGCTTGGACGGTCGGTCCCTGCCTTCCTCATTGCTGGAGGCAGTGTCGCCGTGCAGAGATCGGGGGCAGCGCAAGGGTGTCGAAGAGAAGGAAGATCCGCATAAACAGATCAAACACGAGGTGGTCGTTCTCTTTATGCATTGTTTTGCCGATTGGCGCTGGCCCTCGTGCCCCACCTTCCCCCCCCCATGGAGTAGATCTTGGTTGCTTTTGGCGCCTGTTTCAAGCAGGTGGAGCCTCCCCCATAGGACGCACTGTTGCAAACAGTCGCATTAAGCAGAGGTCTGGAGCCAGACCCCCCCCCATTCCCCCCCCCTTCCGCCCAATGCCGAAACGCCGAACAAGAAAACGCTCACAAGCTTTCGGAGCTCCGAATGGATTGCTTGGATCTGCGCTGGGCCCCCCTCGCAGCGCCTCCGGCGCCGCCCGGGGCCAGCGCCGATGCAACAGATCTGCGCGGAGCTCCTGAAATTGATGCTAATGATTTCTGGTTCCTGCAACGACAGGGGGTTCGACATTCGAGGTCACGAACGTTTTCGCTTGTTCTCGGCGGTACACCCAATCGCCCATTCATCGCCGACCCCGCCCAGGAACGTGCGCTGTCGCTATCGGGGGCCCGTCGCCGATTTAGGGGA